ATATTCAGGTGTAGCCATAGGTATTGTAGTGGCAGACCATTTGTTCCATATGTGCTAGCAGGGATGGCTAGCTCCTCCACAGCTGGTGTGTTGTGATGGCATTCTGGTATCAACCAGAAATCATTTGCAGTAAAGGTGGGGTTTTTGCACACTTTTGTAGAGGTTTTCAGTCTCATATCTGGCTGTGGTAGAACCCTGGATGCCTCATCCTCAGTTACCAAAAAGGGGTTGTTATCAGGTTTACATCGAAGGTTTTTGGGTTTCTGACTTCAGTCCTTGTTGGAAACGTACCCCAACCTTCTTCAGTTAATACATTTAAAATTTTTGGCTGTCGGGGCCCTCTGTGCATTCTTAGGGGAAATGTTTCCTAGCACACATCCCAACACCAAGAATGTGTATTCCACAGTCTACTGCACAGGCCTAGTTCATTGTAACACCAGTTAGGGGGTAGGTAACTTCGATGTTTAGGAAACGTAAACCAATGCCCATATCCGGGAGGGCACAGGACCCACCAACTGGCAATAATTTGGGTTTTTTTTCCCTTTTAAAAGTCTTTTGGGCTTGATGATATGCTCCACTGAGAGTCAAATGGGATGGGTCCATGCAGTGAGGTATCCAAGATTATGATACTGACCCATTTTTTAAAGTGTGATGTCTGATGGAGGTCGGACAGCTTAATATTCCCATAGGTGTACTAAGTAATCGTTGATCAGTTCTGCATTCTGTCCCAACAAAAGTTGTGTGTTTTTTTTCCAATTTTGGACCCTTTGATTTGATGCTTGTTTCGCTTCCATTACTGCACACTTAGCAGGAGCGGGTTTGCCCAGGAATTTTCTTAACACATTTCCTTTGAGAAGACTTCTTGCTCCTTTTGCCCAGACTTTAGTGTCAATTGTGTACAGTCAGTGAGTCTGACTACGTTGCCGCTCTAGCCCTTCTCACTTTTTCCCCTCTTTTGTTTACTTTTAAAGGTCTGGAAGCTATCATCATTTCCATCACCTGCAGAAATAGGTTCCTCTATGACAGTTGCCATGTTTGCCAGTGATGATATCTGGTGTAAGACTCACAACACAAGAATTCCCGCTTATCTTTCCCTTATAGCTTATGCAAAGAGCAAATTTTCACTACAAAGTCAGAAGCCCAAAAAATAGATCACAAACAAGTGCTCAAGTTCAATGAACACCTCCAACCATACTCAACCCAGACCACCACCACTCAATACGACACACCCCACCAAAAACACACTCAGAGACCTCTTGTATGTGTGTTAATAATATGGTACATATAATGATATAATGGATGGTACAGGCGAGGTCTTACACCTTATCACAAATTACAAAGATGAAAAGAGAGAGAGAGAGAGACAAAGTAGGTAATATTGAGCATAAAATTAGAATTCTGACATACATCACATTAAACAAGAGGTTCAAATTCAATGATAACTTCCACTTGAGTTAGTTCAGGCTACTGCCACCTAATGTACCTCACTGAAATAATAATATAGCAGACATCACAATGAATGCTGAAGACAACCTCTTACCCCAACCATAGATTGTAAACAGTATTACTAAAAAAAAAAAAAAAAAAAAAAAAAAACTAGGTAATGTTACAATGACAATGAGATAAATCACTCTGGTTGACTTCCTTGGTCCATCCTGGGTAACTCACACGTTACTATGTTATACATGTACTCACCTAATTGTGGTTGCAGGGGTCGAGACTCAGCGTTACTATGTATGACAAGTGTTACCAAGTACACCAAGTGTACACTTTATCACTTAGAATACACTTGTGTTGATGTAAATATAGGTGAGAGTGGTACACCACTGGCCGTAATAAACACACTCAATTCTCAAGGTCACACACTAGGCCCAGCTTCTGGAGAGGTACCAGCGTTTTAATGTGTTTATTATGTGTCAGCACGTGTCTGCAGTCATTAAATTGGTGTATCAGAAGTTAAACACTACAATTTCCCGTTGATCAAATAGTCTAAAACAATTTACACAATGTTTTAAAATAGAAGTATAATGATTGCAAATTGTTACTATTACAATTTTAACTAGGCACTAGACCCACTAGATGAGATGGCAAGGAACATAGATGTTAAGAGGCTGACTCTTGCTTAACACATTTGAAAGGTAACCGAATTACTCAAGAGAGAAAGTATTCATGAAACTGAACATTATGCAGCAGTAAGCTTGTTCACAGTAAAAATACAAAGCTTAAGTTACACACTCACACCACAGATGAACACTGCAAATTTGAAATAATTTCTGGGAATTTAGCAGTAAAGTTTCAGTCTGAACGAGAAAATGTATTAGAAAACACAACAATGACACTAGGACAAGCAATTTAATTATGTAACCATATTTAATAGTTATTTACACTGAGCAGAGCATGTATTACACTGATTTATCAAATGTTAAGGAGTTGGCTACACTGAAGCACACTCCGAGCCTTTTAAAGTCTTAATACAGCTTACAAATGACAATTAACTGTTGGGGAAAGCAAACACTTAAAAACTTCTAGCACAAGTATGACAGACGAATGTTCACTGTGTACAAGCCAATCACCACAAACTTACTTTTGTTTTTAAGTGAAAACCCCTGGCATGTCCCACTCAAAATGTCAGCACTGCAAAACTCGTCAAATTGTTCTCAAGCCTCGCAGGAAACACTGGTATGCCAGCAGCACTGCAGAACGTATACACAGACCCTGCTGGGCCCTAGGACAGCTATAACTGCAGGCTGCCTTAGCTTGTTCTGGCTAGCTTTTAGTGCTGCCCTCAAGCTTGCTTGACTGTGCTCGCCAAGCCCGCGCCAACCCCCCGGGCACCTGCTGCAGGGAGGCAGGCAGGCACACAGGGACCCCTCGCAAGATGAGCGGAGTGCGGCACAGAGGAAAACGGGCACCAACACCCATGTGGTCTGGCAACAAACCGCCTCTAGACCACAAGCAAACAGAGGCGAACGGCTGAGTTCCAAATCGAGGAAGGAGAAGGGACAAGGAAGGGATATTCACCTCGCTAGACACAGGCAATATGGGGGTAGTGGCCTGCAGGTCGCAGGCAATTTTTAAGGTCAATTCACTGGGCCCACAGTCGTCTCGAGAGTTACCAACCCTGTACTACTTGTTAATTACTCCAAACCCGCAGCACTTAACACATCTAGCACCACGTGTCTTGGAATGACAGACAAATTTCACTACATAAGAACTAGTTCTCACAACACCCAAGGTGCGGCCGGAACACTGTAGAAACGTTCACAAAGGGGATTCTGGGATTCAAACAGATGTAGCCTTGCCTTCACTGGCTGGCTTGGAGCCTGTTTGGCCTGGATCAGCTAATTTCGCCCTTATCCCATATGTAGATAATGGCGACGAGTTAAGGGATACCGGGAATAGGAAAGTCGAGGAAGGGACATTCACCTCACTAGACACACGCAGTATGGGGGTAAGTGGCATGCGTGTCTTATAGTGCCATTTTCCAAGGTCACCCAGCAGGCCAGACAATTCCTCACTAATTTTAAGCCTACGTAGTACTGATGGTAGCACAATTCCTAAGTCAGCGTAAACCACTCATGCAAATAGTTTTCAACAAATCTGCAGCACTTGCGGACTCACATATTCGAGTACCAGCGGGGCAGCAAAATACACCTCTACACTGCATGTCGTTTATAGAGGCGAACGGGGAGTTTAAAGGCGGAGAGTTGGGGAACAGGAGAACAGCAGGGGTAAATGAGCACGCACATTCGCCTTTCTTCACATAGTCATATGGGCGAAAGTCTCAGGCAGGTGATGCAGTGCCTCGCTCAAGGTCACAGGCTGAGGCAGACTTCTCAAGAGTTTACCAAACACTGCAATACTCGTACAGATTGTTACTCACTCCAAACTTGCAGAACTTCTAGCACACGTGTCTTGGAGTGAAAGACGAATTTTCAGTGTGTGGACACCTGTGTTACCAACTCAAGTAGGACTGCACACTCGTCGTTATTCCTCAGGTTGTAAAGCGATGAGTTGTGAGCATTTGAGAGGCACGAGAGCAGTGGACTAACAAAATTTGCCTTACACTGTATGTTGAAAGAGGCAAAGGCTGAGGTCAAATGAAAGGCAGAGGGGAAGCAGAGGCCTGTGAGGGCCTTTGCAAAAAGGAAAACTATTTCCAGTGTTTCACTAGGTATATCCTTAGTCACAGCTCGCACATAAGAGTTCTCACAACACTGAAGCTGTCTTCCAACAGTAGGAGTTTTAATGATGACTTATCAGTCGGGAGAAATGGGTAGGCCTGCTAATTAGTAGGTCCAGATCCCCAGCACACGTCTACTCCCCTCAACCACTCAGCCGAGACTTGACGATGAAGAGTCTTCCTTAAACAACGTTTTACAATGCCGATCATTCTTTCATAAAAGTAGTTTGAGAACAATAATACAAAAAGAACTTCAACTGAATTTTATGGACTTAAGGCTCAGGGAGATTGACACCAGTGAGTCCATCTATCATCATTCTATCATGCAGGAGGAGCCACATGTCTATGGTGAATCCAACAAAATAAGCAGACGGCACTCTGAAGGAGGGGTGTTAATGTTACAGTTTAAAAACTGTTGTGTAAAGCACCCTTCTGGCAAGACAGTGATGGAGTGAATGATGGTGAAAGTTTTTCTTTTTCGAGCCACCCTGCCTTGGTGGGAATCGGCCAGTGTGTTAATAATAATAATAAAAATCTGCGAGAAGAACCAGGATTGTGTTAATAAAGTCAACTCATGGAAGAAAAAGGCTTTCCTATACAGTCCTTGAAAATACACACAAAACTCTTCTCATCAGGGCTATTAGATGCAGTCACCCTCGGTTATCTGTTGATTTCAAGGGTCACTGTCCCTGCAACATTGTCCTAGACCAAACTTAGTTGATGGCCTGATCAGTCAGGTTGTTGGTACTAACCATAGTCACGTATATTAGTTATACGATTTTGTAAAATTTGATTATAATGTTTCATATTTTTACAGGCGAAGAACAGGTTACGAGAGATGATTTCCAAGATAGAGTTGTGGCATTGGAGTCTTCGTTACGTAGAGGGAAATTTTGGCACAGGTCTCGTGGCTTTCTTCACTTTCATTAAATGGTTGCTGTACCTCAATGTCTTCACCTGTGTGTTGTTAGCTGTGTTCATTCTTGTGCCACAGATTGTTCTTGCACATCCAAAGGTGAGTTTATCTCATTGTATGATCTTTATTAATTCTGTGCTCTGATTGATATTTGCCTTTACTGAATTCGAGACACAAGTAGGTTTGCATGCATTCAATAATTAATGGATGAGCTAGAATTAAAATGAGATTTGGAACAGGTCAGAATATGATTATTAATATAATGGTAGCATTGAATTATTTTGTTGAATGATATTATGTAGTATCTGGCTTACAGAATAAAGTATAATGACAGTGTTTGATTTATAATGAAGTAAAAAATAAATATTCATAGGTAAAATGTTATGGAGGGAGTAGTAGGTAAATTTGGGGTGCCAGGGGTAAATGTAAATGGGGAGCCTTTAATTGAGCTATGTGTAGAAAGAAATTTGGTAATAAGTAATACATATTTTATGAAAAAGAGGATAAATAAATATACAAGGTATGATGTAGCACATAATGAAAGTAGTTTGTTAGATTATGTATTGGTGGATAAAAGGTTGATGGATAGGCTCCAGGATGTACATGTTTATAGAGGGGCAACTGATATATCAGATCATTATTTAGTTGTAGCTACAGTTAGAGTAAGAGGTAGATGGGAAAAGAGGAAGGTGGCAACAACAAGTAAGAGGGAGGTGAAAGTGTATAAACTAAGGGAGGAGGAAGTTCGGGCGAGATATAAGCGACTATTGGCAGAAAGGTGGGCTAGTGCAAAGATGAGTAGTGGGGGGTTGAAGAGGGTTGGAATAGTTTTTAAAAATGCAGTTTTAGAATGTGGGGCAGAAGTTTGTGGTTATAGGAGGGTGGGGGCAGGAGGAAAGAGGAGTGATTGGTGGAATGATGAAGTAAAGAGTGTGATAAAAGAGAAAAAGTTAGCTTACGAGAGGTTTTTACAAAGCAGAAGTGTTATAAGAAGAGCAGAGTATATGGAGAGTAAAAGAAAGGTGAAGAGAGTGGTGAGAGAGTGCAAAAGGAGAGCAGATGAAAGAGTGGGAGAGGCACTGTCAAGAAATTTTAATGAAAATAAGAAAAAATTTTGGAGTGAGTTAAACAAGTTAAGAAAGCTTAGGGAAAGTATGGATTTGTCCGTTAAAAACAGAGTAGGGGAGTTAGTAGATGGGGAGAGGGAGGTATTAGGTAGATGGCGAGAATATTTTGAGGAACTTTTAAATGTTGAGGAAGAAAGGGAGGCAGTAAATTTTCATGCACTGGCCAGGGAGGTATACCATCTTTTAGGAGTGAAGAAGAGCAGAAATGTAAGTGTGGTGGAGGTACGTGAGGCATTACGTAGAATGAAAGGGGGTAAAGCAGCTGGAACTGATGGGATCATGACAGAAATGTTAAAAGCAGGGGGGGATATAGTGTTGGAGGGGTTGGTACTTTTGTTTAATAAATGTATGAAAGAGGGGAAGGTACCTAGGGATTGGCGGAGAGCATGTATAGTCCCTTTATATAAAGGGAAAGGGGACAAAAGAGATTGTAAAAATTATAGAGAAATAAGTTTACTGAGTATACCAGGAAAAGTACAGTGGACCCCCGGTTAACGAACTTTTTTCATTCCAGTAGTATGTTCAGGTGCCAGTACTGACCGAATTTTTTCCCATAACGAATATTGTGAAGTAGATTAGTCCATTTCAGACCCCCAAACATACACGTACAAACACACTCACATAAATACACTTACATAATAGGTCGCATTTGGAGGTGATCGTTAAGCGGGGGTCCACTGTATACGGTAGGGTTATAATTGAAAGAATTAGAGGTAAGACAGAATGTAGAATTGCGGATGAGCAAGGAGGCTTCAGAGTGGGTAGGGGATGTGTAGATCAAGTGTTTACATTGAAGCATATATGTGAACAGTATTTAGATAAAGGTAGGGAAGTTTTTATTGCATTTATGGATTTAGAAAAGGCATATGATAGAGTGGATAGAGGAGCAATGTGGCAGATGTTGCAAGTTTATGGAATAGGTGGTAAGTTACTAAATGCTGTAAAGAGCTTTTATGAGGATAGTGAGGCTCAGGTTAGGGTGTGTAGAAGAGAGGGAGAATACTTCCCCGGTAAAAGTAGGTCTTAGACAGGGATGTGTAATGTCACCATGGTTGTTTAATATATTTATAGATGGGGTTGTAAAAGAAGTAAATGCTAGGGTGTTCGGGAGAGGGGTGAGATAAAAATTATGGGGAATCAAATTCAAAATGGGAATTGACACAGTTACTTTTTGCTGATGATACTGTGCTTATGGGAGATTCTGAAGAAAAATTACAAAGGTTAGTGGATGAGTTTGAGAATGTGTGTAAAGGTAGAAAGTTGAAAGTGAACATAGAAAAGAGTAAGATGATGAGGGTATCAAATGATTTAGATAAAGAAAAATTGGATATCAAATTGGGGGGGAGGAGAAAGGAAGAAGTGAAATTTTTCAGATACTTGGGAGTTTGAGTGTCGGCGGAGGGAAATTTATGAAGGATGGGGTTTAAAATCTTTGGGAATTTTAAAGGGGGAAAAAAAGGTGAGTGGTGGTTGGGTAAAAATGGGGGAGTAAAAAAACTTTAAAATTATGGGGGGAAAAGGGAAGGGAATGTATAAAAGTATATTTTGCCCAACCCTTTATTGGATTTTGAACTTGGGTGGTAAATGAGCATGCGGGGAAAGACGGTTGGAGGCAGTGGAGATGGTCCTGTTTGGGGGCAATGTTGGGGTTTGAAAATTATTTTGCAAAAAATTCGGTGTTTTGGAAATTAGGAAAAGGTGTGGAGTTAATAAAAGCTTTTAGTCAGAGGGAAAGAAGGGGGTTGTGAGGGGGTTTGGGTCATTTAGGGGAGAAGGGAAATCAAAGTAGAAGACAGGAAAGCACATAAATCTTAGGGGAAGGAAAAAGGGGGGTTTAGGGGTGCCCTTTAAAAAAGGTTTGGAAAGGGGGGGTTGTAAAGGGGGTTTTGGGGGGCGGGGGGCCTTGGACTTCCAGAAAGCGTGAAGAGGTTTTTAAAAAGGGGAGTGAATGGAAAACAAATGATACTTGGGCCCTGACGATCTTTTGGGGAGTGTGAGAGGGAAATTTATTTGTGAAGGGATTGGGGAAACCCGGTTTTTTCTTTTAAGTCGGATTTGAGTCCTGGAAATGAAAAGTACAAGCCTGCACTTTAAAGGATTTTTTTGGGGGAAAATTGGCATTTTGGGGAGGGATATTTTTGGGGGGGTTTTTTTTTACGTAAAATGCTTCAAAAACCTGTTTTATTCGGGCCCCTTTTGCAAAAGCAGTGATAATTTTGTGAGTGGGGGAAAAAAGTGTTGAAGGATGATGAAAGTATTTTCTTTTTTGGGGTTTTTCTTTTTTTTTTTTTGGGTCACCCTCCCTCGGTGGGGGACGGCCGATTTGTTAAAAAAAAAAAAAAAAATCCTCCCAAATGGGCAGCGGGGGGAAATTAGCTGGCTGCATGTTGTTTGGGAGTTGGGGTTTGGGAACATGCAGGAAAACACTCAAAAAATTTTCAGAGACTAGGTGGGGCAAGAAGGGATCAAAAAAGGGGACAGATAAACTTTGACCACTTATGTGAGGTTTACCCCAAGAAGTGAGGGCTAGGTTTTCCCCAAAAGGGAAAAGGGAAAAATATCTCACCCCTTGCCCTCGTGGTTTTTTTGCAGGTAAATTACGTTTCCTTTGGGCACAAAATTTTAAATGGGGAGTTTTTTAAAAAAAAATTTACAGTTGCACTAAATTATGTTATTTGATTTGTAGTTTGGGGGAAATTTTTTGTTCATCCCCACAAAATAATTTTGAGTCAATGTGAAACCTTTAAATTGATGTATCGTGGGGGTTTGGGGTATTTTTTTAGAGTGGCAATTTTATGATGATTAGGTGGGTTAGGATTGGTTAGGGCCCGTGGGTTTTTCCCTCCACCAAAATTGCAAAACAAAGCCAGTTTTGACATGCTACCTTGACATTTACCTTTAAACAAAAATTTTATTTTTTACAATTGTCAGTTTTTAAAATTTATCCCTCATAGATAGATTAAAAATGGAGTTTGGTTGGTGAACAGCAACCACCCGGGGAAAGGTATTTACAGTCCTCCCAAAGGGAGTGTTAAAAACAAAAAAAAAAACCTATAATTGTTTAATGATGGTAGGTTTGGTGGTATCTTTTTTCTGTCTCAAAAATTAAAAGGGAGGGGAAGGTCCTGGGGATTGGGGGGAGCAGGTATGCCCCTTTTTATAAAAGGGGGAAAGGGGAAAAAAAGAGTTTGGGAAAAAAATTTAGAAAAAATTTAAGTTTACTGGTATACCGGGGAAAAGTATAGGTAAAAAAAGTTATAATTGAAAAAAAATTAGAGGTAAGCCCGAATTTTAAATTGCAAAAGAGCAAGGAGGCTTCAGAGTGGGTGGGGGATGTTTTAAAAAAAAATTTTGTTTACATTAAAGCTTTATAATGTGAACATTATTTAGTTTAAAAAGGAAGGGAAGTTTTTATTGTTTTTAGGATTTGGGAAAAAGGGCATATGATGAGTGGATAGGGGAAAGCAATGTGGCAGATGTTGCAAGTTTATGGAATGGGTTTGGTAATTTATAAATGCGGGTTAAAGAGCTTTATGAGGTTTGGAGGCTCAGGTTAGGTTTGGTAAAAAGGAGAGGGAAAAAAATACTTCCCGGTAAAAGTAGGTTTTAGACGGGATGTGAAATGTCACCAGGGTTGTTTAATTTTTTATAGATGGGGTTGAAAAGAAAGTAAATGCTAGGGTTTTGGGGGGAGAGGGGGGGGGTTTAAAATTTAGGGGGAAAATAAAATTTAAAAAGGGGAATTTGGGGGCCCACAGTTACTTTTTGCTGATGTTACTGTGCTTAGGGGAGTTCTAAAAAAAAATTGAAAAGGGTTTAGGGGGATGGTTTGGATATGTGTGAAAAAGGTTAGAAAGTTGAAAGTGAACTAGAAAAGGTAAGGTGAAAGGGTATCAAAGGGATTTAGATAAAAAAAAACTGGATATAAAATTGGGGGGGGGGGAGTTTTGGGAAAAAAGTGAATGTTTTCAG